TCCTCCTCCTCCTCCTCCTTCCCCTCCTCCTCTTCGTCCTCCTCCTCCCTCTCCGCTCTACGTCTCCAGACACCCTCCTCAGTCCTCGGCGAAGTACAGGATAATATTCATGGATGTATTCAAGCTAATGCACCAAGGCGTTCGCCGTAGTAATAACAAAGTAAAGCCCGAAAGTAACGCTATTGCTGATTTTTAATTATCGTACTAATATAAAAAGTTGTGGAATCATGTGAAAATGTCAATTTTTCAAAATAATTTATCCGTTTCGAACAGCAAAAACAAATTTTAACTTTGTTAGTTTGTTCAACTGAACTTGCTTCGCTCTATTTCACTAGTGAATATTTGCGCTTTAAAGAGATGATGCGCAGTCAGTGTGATTCATGTTTTAATGACGAAGACTTTGAGTATTTTATTGGTTCCCATACATTTATTAGGCATGCAGAATATATAACATTCATACCCCTCATTTTTTGTCCTTTGTGTGTGTGAGTGTGTGTGTGTGTGTGTGTGTGTGTGTGTGTGTGTGTGTGTGTGTGTGTGCGTGCGTCGTGCGTGCGTGCGTGCGTGCGTGCGTGCGTGCGTGCGTGCGTGTACACACGAGTCCTGCAATTCTGCAGCAACCGCGTAAAAACTTGTCAATTCCATATGGCGCTGGGTCGTGTGGCCCACCTGTCGCGAATCTCAATCTAGTCACCCCGTAGAGCACTCTGGGATAATGTATGGTAACGGAACGCCTAAGTAAAAGCCGTTTCACGTATGTGAGTTTATATCGGTTGATGGTGTACGTAGGTGCGTATGCGTGAACACATCGCGAACGTGTGCACTCGCGTGCGCTAGACAAGTTCGTGATACTCGTTCCGCTTGTCATCTGTCATTAATTTCTAACATTAATGGTATGACCAGTTTTTTTTTCATTTTACTTTACTTTATATATAACGGTATTAACGAAGAGTAAAAAAATATAGGGACACTATTTATGTACTCATGCAGTAATACCGATAAACTTCCTGACATTGTTTATGTTTTCTTAAAAGCAATGTTATTTTATCAGTAACAAAACACGCGCGACTCTTAAAAATATTTATTGTTTAAACTCTTTCTCTCTCTCTCTCTCTCTCTCTCTCTCTCTCTCTCCCCGTCCCCTCCTCCCCCGCTTTTTCTCTTTCTCTCCCTCCTTTCTTTTCGAATTTATAATTTTCAGTATTTGTTATTTGAATGAATCTTATTGTTTTTTAAAAATATAAATAAGATAATGATACGAATGGGAATGAAGTGATTATTGAATACTACAAATGGAATAACGACATCTGCATAATCGACCGCATGCTGATAGGATTAATTCGATTACAATGTTTCCCTTCTTATTTAAAACATGACACGAGATAGATATTGGACAATTTAGACAGCTGTAAAACGGTTGGGAATTCCTAACTGCGAGATAAATATATCAGAGAGTTTCTAAGTATATTAGGAATACATTGCCTTTGCTGAATTATTCGAGTGCTTTCAAGAAATTGCAGGATGCATTAGCTTACATTACGGCAGTTCCATTACATTATGAATATTACTCCGTATATTGATGAAGAAGGGGCAGAAATAGGGTTCTCAATATA